ATTTTTAAATCCTTTTTATTCTTTTTAATTTGAAAAATCACTGACATAATATTTTTTTTATTTTTAATTAAAATAAATTTCATCAATAATCTTTGTTAAATGTAAGTATTTTTTTTGATAAATTTGTTTCATTTTCTATATGTAAGTAATTTTTGGTTCAGAAAATGTTTAAGAACCTAATCGCTTAAAATATAAAAGTTCATTGTTTTTTTTCCAGACTTTTTCCATTATTTTACCATACTGATCAGTTTACAGGTCATAAGAATGTATCTAACAAATTTGAAAAAGTCCAATGAGTTATTTAATAGGTTTTGAAATATCTAAGTACTTATTTGTTCCAAAAAAATGTCTGAAGACTTAAACATTCTAAACACTAAAATTTATTGGGTTTTTTCAAACTTTTCTTTTTTTATCTATAAAACTTTCTATTTAAATATATTAAAGATCAGAAAATGTGTCTGTAAGTAAATGATTATTTTGAGACGTGATAATTTAAATGGGAAAAGTTTAAAAAGGTCCAACAATTTTTTTTTTAATTTGAATGGTTTAGTTTTTAAATTATTATTTTTTAATGAAAAAGCCATTAACTTTTTCATTTTGAATGATTAAATCTTTAAACTATTTTTTTGAATAAAAAAAATCAATAAACTTTTACATTTTGAATGTTTAAAATACTGATTTTAAAAAATAAAATAAACAAACCATCCAACTTCTACTAGTCGGTTAATATAACTTGTTTGAGTTAAAAGAATGTAGATAACCAACTTTTACAAGTGCGATGATTTATTTTTTAAAAATATTCAAGAAGCTAATCGCTCAAATGAAAAAAGTCTAATGACTTTTTCATTTAAAAAAATAAAGTTTAATAAGTTTTTTCATTCAAAAAAATAGTTAAGAGACTTAAACATTTAAAATGAGAAAGTTTAATAGTTTGTTTATTCAAAAAAAATAGTTTAAGTACTAAAGGGTCATTTACCAAACTTTTACTGTGGTAAACGCTTACTAACAAAAGTCCCCTTTTTATTTACCTAATCGTATAACATTCTTAGTCATCAAAATGATTTGTTGATAAATATATTTAACTATGCAAACGCTTATTGGGTAAGAGTCTTCTTCTTCACTTACTGGATAAGAGTCTTCTTCCTCATGTACTATGTAAGGTTCTTGATGCCTTGCTATTCCTTTAACCGGGTAAAACTCTTGGTCCTTATCAACTCACTGATTAATATATAATTAACACATAGTAAACGCTTACTACGATAAAAGTTTTGTAAACAACCCCTAAATCATTTAAAATGAAAAAAATTATTGGATTTTTTTTAAGTTTCTCCAATTTAAAAATCCTCAAAATTTCAACATTTTGATCATACAAAGTTGTTAATTTTTAGTTTTATATTTCTTATTTTATTATTTTATAAAATAAATATAAAAATATATAAACAATTATCATAAAATATATTTATAACAAACATGTTTAAAACGTGTAAAAAGCTACATTAAAGGCCTACCCAAATATATGTACCAAACACAACATTCATATATTGTGTTCCCAATTTCATGTAATCAAAGTTAAGAAAATGTATTTTTCTTAGGATCCCGATCTTTGGCTTTTATATCTACTAAATAAAATAAAAATATATATTTTATTAGATCTCGACTTTTTTCCTTTTTTATCAGTTTAATATCTGATATATAGGACATCGACCCTACTTGATATTAATATCCATTATACTAGTTTGGTGATGTGATTCTTCATGCATCACTTTGAGTTTTCACTATTGTTGCTACAACTTACGCACTCCTCTAATTTTCACTTGAAATATCGTAGATTTTTTTTTTCATAGCTTCAAATGAGATTTCAATTAAATTTGTTAGAAAAGTTAACATCGTGACTTTATCACCTTAGATGAGATTCCAATTAAAATTGTAACTTCTAATTAAACAAACTACTAACATTTGTAGAATAATTTGCAACACTGTTCTCGAGCATAGTTAGAGAACTTAAATGAGCATACGGTTCTAAGATTGTTATCAACTTCTTTTAAAAACTTTTAATGTTAACGAGTAGTTGTCACATACACTTGACTAAACTTTGTTTAGAAGAGGACTTCAAATTTTAGTCTATAACATTTCTTTTGAAGATAATTTTATCGCCACCATGCGACGTGTGATTGCAACACTAGTATTTATAAAAAGAAGAATCTACTGCACACTTGAATATGCTACGATATATGGTACAATATCGATTTTAATTAAATGAGAATAGGGCGGAGGTTTGTAGGTTATTTAATAGTGTAAGAACATTCGTTATGTTGAGGTTTTTCACTAAGGTGATGTTTGTTTTTTAAGATGCACTGAAGTATGAAGTCTGATTTCACTTC